TTGATGCAAAGCGCGTGTCGGGGCCTACGAGGTTTTCGAAGAGAGCGAATCCGAGTCGGACCCGTATATCGAGTTGAGCGACGTCGAGATGAACGAGGGAAGCATGCACTAAACGCGCGTCGAGACGCTGCGCTGGGTTGACGAGCGCAACCAGCGTGTACATTTGTCATCGATCCGCATCGAACTCGCGGCAGAAAGTGTCAATGACACGGACGACATCTTTGGAGCATGGCGCCGTCGAAGCGCATTCTCAAAACGTGCACTGGCAACGTTGGCCCAACAGTTGACTTCTTGTACCACAGCACGCTGCTGGTTTTCTGGCTACGGGCTCGCAGTCTGGAAGCCCTTGGCTACGGCCGTGCGTTGACTCGTCTGCAGTCGCTGCTTGACACTGGCGACGAAGGCGCTGCCGACGCGTTGCTGGGGCGTATGTCGGCGTTCACCGAGGCACCGACCGTCTCTCAGCTCGCAGCAGCGCTGGAAGCAGCGGCGACGCTCGGTGCTCTTGATCCCGCAGTCGCCATTCTGTGTCGGTAGGCGAAGGCGCCCACGAGATGGTCGTGCAAGTCCGTACCGGCACTGTTATCTCCGATCGCTGCCCTTATCAACTCATGTGCATGGACGGCCGCCTTGCAAGATGGGTGTGCAACTCGGTCGTGCCGGACCTCAACGCTGCCAACGTGGTTCAACTTGCCGCCGCCGCACCCACTGCCGCCAAGACTCTCCTGTTGAAGATCAATACGTCGTTGGTGCGTCTGCCACTGGATTCATTGATCGCGCTGCACGATCTCGATGCCGCTGGGCATTTGCCGTTCGGTCGGTTTTTGCACCTTGTGGAGATGGCGGCGTTGAGCAAAACCGACATGGCGGCACGGGACACACGCGTCATGACAACCGCAGAGCCCAAACCTTCCACAACTTGCAAGACGCCGGCGCTACGACCATTGAACCGTGCGCACTTGGCGGCCATCGCCGCGATTTTGCTCTCGAAGCCCCGGGCTGCACCCGTATTTGTGCACTCACATTGCCAAAGCGCCGACGAGTCCTTTGTACCACTTGTTTTGGAGGCGGCGTGGCACCTCGCCGAGACGCCCATGTACGCGGATCTCGTTCGTCACCGTCCGAGCTTGCTGCCGGACGTCGACGACCAGCCACCGGTGGAGTTGTGGTGCCAACCGAATGCGCACTTGCCAGCGTACCCACGCGTGGAGGCCTTTCTCCGCGACCCCAAGCGGGAGACAACGGAGCACGGCTTCAGCAACACGGGCATCTACTTCGCAGCCACGTACTTTGGCCCCAGCATCAACGCGACCTCGGACGCGAGCTCAGAGGCGACGCCCTTTCGCGCCGGGAAGGCTGCATGCTGCAGCATTGCCAAGACGACCGCATTCTACGCTGTGGCACTTGAAACGTGGACGAAGCGCCGCGACGAGGCGTCGGCCTGCACCAGACTTTGAAACCGATTCAGCAATCATCGGAATTGCGCAAACCATGCAGTTGCTACTAGCAACAGATCAGCAAGCATTTTGTGAGGGTACATCATGAATGCTTTTTTGGTTTTATATAAGAGGTGTCGTCGACAACTAGAGCGTGAGCCCGAGGTACGACCGCTCAAACGTGTAGTCACCGTCGTTCGGGATGAGCGGGTACGCAGGCGTGAGCGCGTCCTGCGCGTACATGTAGAGCGAGTTGTAGATCTTCCAGTAGACCTCGCGCACGCGTCGCGCGGGGTGGAAGAGCCCCTGGAGGCAAAACTGCAGAATGACATGCGCACCAAGCGCGACGCGGCAGCCCTCGATCGCGTCAAAGACGGCGCCAATGACGTGTGGCGACGTCTCAAAGATGTTAGGCCACACAAAGTTGAGCAAGTGGATCACCGCGTCTTCGCAGCCAAGGCCCGCGACACCGAGTGCGAGGTGCTTGACCGTCGTCGCCGCCGTCTGCCGATGCACAAGGTCGCGGTCCATGAGCGCGTCTTGCAGCAACGGAGTGACCGCGTAGATGTAGTCCTTGCCCATTTCGCCAATGTACTCGAACATGAACGAGAAGGCCTTGAGGACACCATTCTGGACGTTGAGCTCTGGCACGCGGTACTCGTTCATGAGCGCAGGGATGACGGTGAACGGCGAGCACGTCTCGGCCACGATCGCAATCGCGACCGTTGTGCAAACGCGGTTCTGACGCTCTTGCACCTTGAGATTGTTGAGAAGCGTGTGGAGCACGTCTTGGGGGCCAATCGCCTTGGCAATGTACCCAAATGTGTTGACAGCCGCGCGGCGAATGCCCTTCTTGTGGGCCTTGAGCATCTCGAGGAGCTCAAAGCAGATGCGCATCCACTCGCGCGCCGAGACGAGCTCCGCGCCGCGATCTGCGATACGCCCGACGAGGTCGATGCAGTTTTCCTGCACTTTTTCATGGCGGTTCTTGAGGATCGGCGTCAGTCGCGGCAAGAGGTCCTTGATCGGCGGCGTCATCTTGGCCATACCAATGACGTTGACGATGGCCTTGAGCGCACCCAGGATCGACCCGAGGACCTCTGGGTACTCTTCACCGAGGTACTCGTACAAGACGACGCCCATGTGACCCATGAGCTGCTCCTGGTCGCACGTCTTCATGACGACCGCAATGCGGTTGATGAGATCTGCGGCTTGCATGCGCACCTTCGCAGGCTTGTTGTTGAGGCGCCACTTGATCGTACCGCAGATCTGCGGTAGGTAGTTCTTGGCGCGCAACCCGAGCGCGTTGACGACGACGCCAAAGCCGTTGAGCATCGTGGACGTGTCGTCCGCCGTCTGCTCTTGAAAAGCAAAGAGGAGGCCGTCGATGAGCTTCTCCTCAAGGTCCGTGTCGATGTCGGTCACGCCAAGGTTCTGCACAATGTTGTCGATTGCCTCCATGACCATTCGCCGGTATGGCTCGCTCTCGTCCTTGAGGTCGTCGACGACACGTCCGACAATTTCGGAGGCGCCCACCGCGTTGGCGAGCGCGACGGTCGTTTCGACGAGCTGCTTGTAGTTGCGCTTGTCGAGCGCCATGCGGCGGACCCAAAAGTGCCGGAAAAAGTCGGGCAGCACGTGGCTCTTGACGTACGACGGCGCGACGCCCTCGGTGGCGACGCACTGCTGGACGACCTTGAGCACAATCTTCTTCATCTCTTCATCCGGCGACTGGAACTCACGGATGAGGATCACCATGCTCTCGCGCGTGTAGTAGTTGGCGCAGTTGGCGTCCATGAGCGGAATGATGTACCCGATCGCCTTGAGGAAGGCTGCGAGGCCCTTGCCCCGGTGCTGGCGGATGCCCTTCCAGAGGGGCCGAATGACCGAGTCGAACGACTCAATACCGTACGGGTGAGCGGCCTCGGCAAGTGCAGCCAGCGAGAGCGCCGTGATCGTGCGCACCTTTTGCTGGTCGTCGACGAGACCGTGGCCAACGCACTCGACGAGGTGCTTCAAATGCGGGAGCACCGCGCAGCCCATAAGAATCGCAATCTGCTGCACAATCTTGATACCCGTATGGCGCGCCTCCCAAGACTTGCGCGAATTGCACACGGCCTTGAGGAAGGGCAGCAGCGCTGGAATCCCGAGAGCCGACGCCACGACCGCAAACGCCCGCGCCGTCGTGTTGCGCACGTACTCGTCGGCGTTGTCAATGTCGGGACGCATCGTCGAGATCATCGTCGCGAGACCCGCGGCCTTGGAGAGGTTCGAGATGATTTCGCGGCCCTCAACACGCGCGTAGTAGTCTTCGTCAATGAGCAGCGGCTCGATGACGACGAGGATCTTGTGCACGAACGGCCGGACAAGGTCGTCGAGCTTGTACAGAATGCGGTCAATGACCTTGACCAGCAAGTGGCGCTCCTGGTCCTCCAGCGTCGGCGCCATGAGCAGCGGCAAAATCTGGTTGAAGAGCGGCCCCGCGCCGAGCTCGCGCGCCTTGTCTGTAAGCTGGCGCAGCGCCGTCTTGCGCTGGGGTGGTGTCCCGTTCTTGATTTTGAGGAGAAGCCGCATGATCTTGCGCTCCTTGACTGTCTCGGCGTCGAGCGCCTCGTCGTCGACCTCTTCCATGAGCTTCCCAAAGTACTGGTAGTCCTCGGGCTTGATGAACGGCATGTCGCCACCCGATGGCGTTTGCGGCACCGCGAGGCCATAGTCCGAGACACCACCGGGAGTGGACGCTGCAATCGAGAACCCCGGCGTCTGGCCCATTGGCGTCGGCGTCGCCATGAGCTTGCGCGAAGGTGTTCGGATCGGCATGTAGTTGGCTGGCGGGTCCAAGATCTTGTACCCGGACGTTGGGAACATTGCGTCCAGCTCCTCGTCGGTCAGCGGCCGGTTGCGCTCATCGATCTCGCGCTCCCAGCGCAGACGCTGAGCAACCTCGGGCGTGATTTGCGACGACAAAAAGTGCGTGCCGCCGGGCGTCATCATGATACCGGGTGTTTGTCCACCCGGTTGCTCAGGCATGGGCGTCTCGTCCCAGCGCGACCGCTTCCGGCCGGGCGTCGGGGTCACGCCGCCGTAGTCGCTCGTCCGCGCCTGCTGCGGAGTTTCGTCCCACTTGGTTGACGAGGACGATGCTGCTGGCGCAGCGCTGGTCGTACCGGCCGGAGCGGGGGTTTCGTCCCATCGGTTCTTCTTCGGTGTCGCCGCCGGGGTTGCGTCCCAGCGCGAGGCCACAGGCGTGGCCGCGGCAGCGCTCTTGTCAAGGCCTTCGTTGTCAGAGCGGTCCCACTCGGACGCCGACTCATCCGTAGTCGCACCTTCCGCGTTCGAAGACGAGCCCGCGTCGTCCCATCGCCGGCGCTTCTTCTTCGCCGCCTCTTCGACCGCAATCTCTTCTTCCTCCTGACGCTTCTTACGGATCTTGCGCATTACCTCTTCGCGCTCGGCGTCCAGCTGCTGGCTGTGCATGATTTCACGATAGCTCTTGGCGGCGCCGTCCTTGCCGCCTCCAAACGCATCCGCGCGTTCCGGCGACAGCATGCGATCGAAGCGCCGCTTCGTATACGCGTTCTCGCGGTCCACGATCTTGGTGTTGACCATGCCCGAGCCATTGGCTTCGCGACGCTCCTTGTCCTCGAACGGATTGTAGTCCTCGTCGATGAGGCCGTCCGCGGGGCCGTGGCCGCGCTTGGCCTGCGCCCGCGGGTCCGCCTTCTCATCTTCCTCGTCATCCAGCGTCCGCGAGTAGCCCGCGAACTTGTCCGTGCCCATGCCTCCGTAGAGGTCCGCGTCAAAGTGCGTGCCCGCCGACGTGAGCGCGATGCGGTCCTTCTCGTCCGCCATGCTTCCTGCTACTGGGCTATTTAATGCTCCCCGTCGCTCTCCATACAAACATCCAATGAAACCACGTCATTTTATTCGGCTCGGGATCTGTGTGGTCTCTGGAACTGGACCACTTTTGGCCAATGGCAGTGCGCGACGGCTATTCTTACCGCGCAGATTACGCTCTTTCCACAGAAAATTACGTAGCCTCATGCGTTAAGAATGCCCAGTTGTCTTGTATACCGGAACACACAGCAGTGGACAGGCATCACTGCGGCGCAGAGTGACTGCGGCGCTCGTCAGCGAAGAATTGAGAACATAATTCCTACTCTTCGTTGGAATGGACGGCAGCCTCAAATCGAGGTGAAGCGGTTCCTCAATCATGCAGCTGCGCACCTGCTATCGACAGACCGAGCGTCGCGTGCAACCCCTTTATGTATTAATTCGTGGCAAGTGGACGCCATGACCAGTTGGATGCAACGCCTCTGCTTGTCCGCGTCTAATTCGTACATTAAAATAAGTTGTCGCGCATGTAGCTTGGTGAATGTATGTGAAATTGCGAAACCGTAAAAAAGAAAGCGGCTGCCTTCTTTGGCGGACGCTCTGTGGTTGGTTATTTTTCGTCGTCCGTGGGGCTCGTTGAGGAGGCAGCATGGCCAGCAAGGCGAAGACGGCCAAGCGGGCCGAGCGCCTGAAGAAGGCCAAGGCCGCGAAGGAGTCCAGCGCGGACCTCTCGTGGCAGATCGACGACCTGCTCACGCTCTCGGACCTCTCGGAGGAGAACCTACTGCGTAGCCTCCACAGCCGCTACGAGCATGACCTCATCTACACGTTCGTGGGCCCGATCCTCATTAGCATCAATCCGTACCGGGTCATCGACGACATCTACTCTGACGCGACGATGGATCTGTACCACAAGACGAGCGGCGGCAGCAAGCCGCACGTTTTTGCGACTGTCAAGGCCGCGTACGAAGAGCTCGTCCTCTCAGACGTCACCAAGCCCAGTGACCAGAGCATCATCATCAGCGGTGAAAGCGGTGCCGGGAAGACCGAGACGACCAAGGTCATCATGCGCTACCTGGCGCGAGTCGCAAGTGGCCAATCCTCGGGCGCCGCGACTGAAGGCTCGCTCGAGCAAAAGGTCCTTGATTCGAACCCGCTCCTCGAGTCGTTTGGTAACGCCAAGACGCTCCGCAACGACAACTCGTCGCGCTTCGGCAAGTTTATCGAGATCCAGTTCGACCGCCACGGCAAGATTGGCGGCGCCGAGATCATGAACTTCCTTCTCGAGAAGACGCGCATCGTGACTCAGAACATTGGCGAGCGCAATTACCACATCTTCTACCAGCTGCTTGCGGGTGCCGACGCCGCGACGAAGTCGCAATTACACCTCACGCGCCCGGAGGACTACGACTACCTCCGAAAGAGCGAGTGTTATGTCATCCCGTCCAAGTATGCCATTCCTCCGATCCCCATACGCTGGGTACTCATGTATTTTGATGTGTTAGAGACGATGAGCACGAGTTTGAGATCACGCGTCGCTGCCTCGGCAACATTGGCATCTCGCAAGAGCTCCAGGACAATGTGTTTGCAATGCTGGTACGTACATATTCTTACGTACCTATCTCATGAACACGTCATCTAGGCGGCGATCTTGCACCTCGGCAACGTCGACTTCAAGGTCGAGCAAGAGACGTGCGTACCGCTCAACGCCACCACGCTCGAGACCATGTCGTGGATCGCGGACCTCCTTCAAGTATCCAAGGACGCGCTCCGCAACGCGCTTTGCAACCGACAGCTCTTTGTCGGCGGCAAGGTCATCATCCAGACACAGGACGCGAACCAGGCCCGCGACAAACGCGACGCGCTCGCCAAGACTATTTACTCGTCGCTCTTCCTCTGGCTCGTGATGGAGCTCAACCGGACGATCTCCGAGCCGTCGCGCAAGTGGGGCTTCATTGGCGTGCTGGATATCTACGGCTTTGAGAAGTTTGACTGGAACACGTTCGAGCAGCTCTGCATCAACTTTACCAACGAGAAGCTCCAGCGGCACTTTAACCAGCACATGCTCGAAGTCGAGCAAGTCGAGTACACGAAGGAGGGCATTGACTGGACGCACATCAAGTTCCAGGACAACCAAACGACGCTCGAGCTCCTCGAGGGCAAGCCGAATGGCAAGCCTGGCGTCTTCATCGCGCTCGACGACGTGTGGCGTACGAAGGGCGAGGAGGCCAACCGCAAGTTTGTGAGCTACCTCCACGCGACGTTTGGCGGTAACGCAGCCCACGAGTCGTATATCCAGCCCAAGGTCGACGCCGCGTACAGCTTTGGCATCAAGCACTACGCTGGGGACGTCATTTACGATGCGTCTGGCTTCAACGACAAAAACAATGAAGATCTGAACGACGATATGAAGGAGCTCATCAAGCAGTCGGGCAGCGACTGGCTCAAGACGATCGTCGACAACAGCCTCCAGAGCACGGAGGCGGTATCGCGCCGCGTGTCTGCCAAGCCTGCCGCTGTCTCTCGCCGCCCGTCCGAGCTCCCAAGCGACAAGAAGACGCGTACGCTGCGCGAAGTGAGTGTCGGTGCACAGTTCCGGTACCAGCTTCAAGAGCTGATGGCAAAGATCTCGGCCGCAACGCCGCGCTACATTCGCTGTATCAAGCCCAACGAGGAGAAGCGGCCGATGGCGATGGACGGTGCGCAGTGCGTGCGCCAGCTCAAGTACTCTGGCATGATGGAGGCGATCCAGATCCGCCAAAAGGGCTTCGGCTTGCGCGAGGAGCACGATACGTTCTTTTACGACTTTCTTGCACTCGACCCGGCCGCCGAGGACATCCACGAGCTCGTCGCGAGCATTTCCGAGATGCTCAACGAAGGCAAGGACCAGTGGCAAATGGGTAGCACCAAGATCTTTCTCAAGCGGTCCGTCGCGGAAAAGCTCAAGCGCCTCAAGATGCTGCGCGAGATCTCGGCCGCTCGCACGCTTCAGCGCGGGTACCACATCTGGAAGCGCACTCAGTGCGCGATCAAGATCCAAAGCGCCGTGCGCTCGTGGCGGGCGCAAAAGGAGCTCGGGCTCCTGCGGTCCGCGGCCTACACCGTCATGAAGATGGCCCGAGGTTTTGCCGCGCGCTCCAAGTACAAGCGCCTCGTCGTCGTCCACCGTGAGCGCGTCGCAGCGGCCGTCAAGATCCAAGCGATCGCGCGCGGGTTTGTGATTCGCCAGCGCGACCTTCTGCATCCGTTCGCGGGCATGGGCGCCAAGGAGCTCGACGCTCGCATCAAGGAAATCGAGGCGGAAATTGCAGTCGCGGCCAAGAAGAAGCAATTTGACAAGTGCACGAGTTTGCAAAAGGACTTGGACGCAACGCTCGAAGCGCGCCGGCTCGTGCGCACGCCCAAGGAGGTCGACGCTGAGATTGCCGCACTCCATGATGAAATGGATGCGCTCGCACGCCAGAAAAAATACGCCGAGTGCTCGGCACTGCAGACCAAGTTGGACGCGCTCGAGGCCTTTCGGAAGGCAATGCCCGAAGACCTCTCGGACCTCGAGCCCGCGGAGCTTGACGCTCGCATCGATTCGCTCAACGCGGAGCTCCAGGCTGCGATGGCCAACCGTCAGTTTGATGCGTGTGGCGCGATCCACGACCGCCTGGATAAGCTCGTCGCGGTGCGCAAGACCAAGCAGACGCCGGCCGAGATGGACATCGAAATTGCGAACCTCACGGTCGCGCTCCAAACGTCGATGGCCAAGAAGCAGTTTGACAAGTGCGCCTCCATCCAGGCGGATTTGGACGCGGTGACTAAGCGCCGCGCCAAGGCCCAGGCGCTCTTGCCGCCGCCACCACCGGCCGCGGCACCCGTCGCTGCTGTCGCGACCAAGCCGACGACTGTTGTGAAAGCGACGGCTGCCAAAGCGTCTGCCAAGTCTGCGTCGGTCGTCATGCCGCGTGCTGCGCCGTCAATCTTGGCGCCAACGGTGAGCGCACCGTCTATCTCGGCAGCGACCGTCTCTGCTCCAGTAATCAGCGCGCCGTCGGTGGCAGCGCCTACCGTGTCCGTAACGGCGCCGTCGGTCAGCGTCGCGCCCAAGCAGCAGCCCACGATGCCAGCCCTGACAGCGGCTCCCAGTGCCACGGCACTTGTGCCCGTGGGCTCGCAAGCGCTCGTGGCGCTCGGGTCGCAGGCTATTGTGCCCAAGAACGATCGTCCGCCGCGCCGTCCGCGCAGCAACTCGAACGACTCGAACGCGTCTTCGCAAGCGATCTCGGTCGTTTCGCGTGCATCCAAGGTCTCCAAGGCGTCGACGACAAAACCCGCCGCGATCCAAGAGGCTGTAGAAGACATTTCGCGTACAGTCGAGCGCCTTCGGCCAGCCAAGGCTGTGACCGTACCGGAAACAATGTCGGTCAAGGAAGCGGCGGGTGTCATGAAGTCCAACCGCACAGCCGCCGTGCTGGTCGTCAATAACGCCGGTGGATTGGAAGGCATTCTGTCTGACACGGACGTCACCCGGCGCGTGGTCGGCCCCGGTCTCGATGCGTCCAAGACGGCTGTCGCGACAGTCATGACGCCCCACCCGAGCTGCGTGACGTCGACGGATAAGGCGACACAGGCACTCAACATGATGCTCCAGGGCCGGTTCCGTCATCTCCCCGTGATCGACGCCAACTCGGGCGCCGTTGTTGGTCTACTCAATGTGTCGAAGTGCCTTCATGACGCGATTCGACGCCTCGAGCATGCACACACAAAAGCGCTGGCGCTTCAGAAGGACCTCAACGCGAGTGGCTCGGCAATGGCGCTCCTAGCGCCGATGCTTGAGAAGATGTCGTCGCCGACGCTGTACGACGTCATTGCGCGCGACACGCTTCCGCCTCTCGTACTGGAAGACGACATGCTCGCGGACGTGGTTGCGGCCATGGCTTCGTCTCGCAAGGCCGCGCTGGTCGTCGACGAGGACAAGCGCCTCATTGGTATTCTGACGCCCAAGGATGTCATGACGCGGGTGATCGCGCCAGGCCTCTCGCTTACGACGACGCGTGTCTCGAAGGTCATGACTGCTGACCCGGACGCTGCCGTGAGCGGGACGACGATCATGGACGCATTCCACATTATGCACGACGGGCGCTTCCTCAACTTGCCAATTGTCGACGAGAACGGTGTCGTCGCGGGCCTCACGGACGTATTGAGCCTCGCCGTGCACGCCTTCTCAGCCGGCGACGATGGTCACATGCTGACGCAGTTTGTGCAAGCGTCTTTCCACCACGGGAGCGACCTGGACGAACTCGCGAGTAACGCCAGTGGCGCGTCGGCATTCTCACGGTCGTCCAAGCTCTCGCGCCGCACGGACCGGTCGCTCACGTCCAAGCCGACGCCCGTTTCGAGCTTGCGTCCCGCGCCTGCGCACACGATCGTTGAGACGGCGTCCGTCGCTGACGTGTGCCAGCTCATGCGCGCAAAGCAGACTGATGCAGTCCTCGTGGTTGCTCACGACGGCGGTCTCGTTGGTATCATCACGGACAATGACATTTGCCGCCGCGTCGTGGCGCAGAATCTGAACGCGCGGTCGACGCCCGTCTCGTCGGCAATGACGGCTAACATCAAGTACGTGGGACCCGACGACTCGGCGCTCGATGCGATGGTCCTCATGCACGAAGGTCACTTCCGACACCTCCCCGTCGTTGACCAGTCGAGTGTCGTCGGCATACTTAGCATTGGCAAGTGTCTCTTTGACGCAATCAAGCGCATGGAGCAAGCCATGAGTGCGACCGAGGCGCTGCAGCAGTCGCTCGAGCAGCAGTTCAAGGGCCAGATGAAAGGCATGGTCGGATCGCTCATGGACAAGATGTTCTCGTCGTCGCTGACCTTGTCGTCGCTGCTGCAGACAGACACTGGTGCGCCGGCGCCTATTGTGTCTCGGACGACCACCGTCGCCGAGGCTGTCACGCTCATGGCATCGTCTCGCAAGGCTGCGATTGTTGTCGAGAATGGACGGCTTGTCGGTGTCTTCTCACCAAAAGAGCTCGTGCTGCGCGTCCTTGCGCTTGGGAACGACCCGACGAAAACGATTCTCGGTGACGTCATGCTTGTGGACCCAGAGGTCGGTCTCCCCGATACGCATGCGCTCGAGGCGATGCAGATCATGCACGAGACCCAAGTGCTCAACCTGCCCGTCGTGAGCCCCACGGGGGCGCTTGTTGGCCTTGTCGATGTGCTCACGATGAGCTACGGCTGCTTCAGCATCGTGTACGGCGATAGCCGCGACAAGCTCGAGGAGTTTTGGAACACGACGTTTCAGCTCGAAGCTGCGGCACCGACTCCGCTTCTCACAGCGCCCGGCCACGGTGCCAACTTGGTGCAGGCGCAGCGCACGGTCGCGAGTTTGCGTCCGTCGAAGGCCATGACGATCCTCGACACGACGTCTGTGCGAGAGTGCGCCAAGGCCATGGAGCGCCAGGGCGCCGATGCTGCGCTCGTCGTCTCGGGCGCAGGGGCGCTCGTTGGCATTGTCACAAGCACGGATCTCACCCGACGCGTCATCTCGCTCAACAAGTCGCCCGACTCGACGTGTATCTCGGCCGCGATGACGCCACAGCCTCAGTTTGTAACCGAAGACGACCCGGCCATCGACGCGCTCTCGACGATGCTTGCAGGCAAGTTCCGGCACATCCCTGTGGTTGACAGCCAGGGCCTCGTCGTTGGTATCCTCCACATTGCCAAGTGTCTTTACGACGCTATACGGAAGCTCGAAGCGACGACCAAGTCGCAAGCCAAGGAACTCGCGGCCAACACAAAGCTCGTCAAGCGCCTCGGACCCATGGCCCACCGCCTCTTTTCGCCCGACGTGCTATCGATCATTGAGCACGACACGGTTGCAGCGCCTCGAGTGCTGCCCTACACGTCTATCTTTGCGGCCTCCAAGCTCATGGCTGATACCAAGCGCGCGGCTCTGGTCGTCAATGAGCGCGGGCACCTCCTTGGCATGCTCACGCCCGCTGAGCTCTTGACAAACGTGCTCGCCAAGGGCCGACCCGTGCACACGACCGCCGTCTGCGACGTCATGATCTCGGCGCCGCAAGTCGTGTACGGTGCGACGTCGGTCGTCGACGCGATGCATGCAATGCACGAAACCAAGAGCTTGCATCTCGCGGTGCTGCGCTCGTCGACTGAGGCCGAGGTGCTTGGCTTGATCGACATCCTCTCGCTGTCGTACGGCAGCTTTGCGAAGGGCAGTCCGGCTGACTGGAAGGCGTTCTGGGAGTCGTCGCTTGAGGTGGACGACGACGGGACATCGTCCGTCATGAGCAGCCACAGCTTGCACTCGAAGAAGAGCTCGATGCACCAAGGTGGCGGTGGCAAGAAGACGTCGTCCGGCGATGTGCGTCCTGTCTCCAAGCTCCGCCCGTCGCCGGCGCTCACGGTCCTCGCCGACGTGAGTGTTCGTGATGCGGCCATGACAATGAAGGCCGACAAGGCGGACGCTGCTCTTGTCGTTTCGCGCGAAGGTGGTCTTCTCGGCATTTTGACTGACACGGACGTCACGCGGCGCGTTGTGGCTCTCGGCAACGACCCGGGCTTCATCACGGTCGCGGACGCCATGACGGCCAACCCGACATTCGTCCAAGAAGCCGACAGCGCGATGGACGCAATGTTTATGATGCTTGAAGGCAAGTTCCGCCACTTGCCGGTCGTTGACGCCGATTTGCGTGTGAGCGGCATGCTCAAGATCCAAAAGTGCCTCTACGACGCGATCCGGCGCCTCGACGACAATGCACGCGGCCTCATGTCGCCATCGCTGCAATCGATTCTCGACGCCGACGCGCAAGCGATGCCGCCGCTCTTGTCTGCGACCGACTCAATTTTGCACGCGGCGCGACAGATGGCGTCCAGTCGCAAGGCCGCGCTCGTCGTGAACAGCCAGCAAAAGCTTGTGGGCATTCTTACGCCCAAGGACGTGCTCCTTCGTGTCGTCGGTGGCGGCCTCGATGTGCTCTCAACCCCCGTCGGCGACGTCATGACCAAGAACCCCGAGGCCATCGACCCGTCGCTGTCGGTCCTTGATGCGCTCCATCTCATGCACGAAAACAACTTTTTGAACCTGCCAGTCGTGCATGCGGCGACGGGCAAGATTGCTGGTCTCGTCGACGTTTTGAGTTTGAGCTACGGCAGCTTCTCGAAGGGCTCGGGTGAGTGGCAGACGTTCTGGGATCTCTCGCTCTCGGCTCCCGACCACGACGAGAATGCGGATAGCGGTATCAAGGCTGCCAACAACGGCCCCGTGCCAACCGTCGCGGCGCTGCGCCCGTCCAAGGCAACGATTCTCCCTGATACGATCACGGTCGCGGATGCTGCGCTGATTCTTCGCCGCGCCCGCGTCGAAGCGTGCAACGTCGTCAACGCCACCGGGCAGCTTGTGGGCATTCTCACGGACACGGATGTGACGCGGCGTGTCTTGGCGCGCGACATTGATCCTGAAACGTGTCTCGTCTCGACCGTCATGACGGCGTCGCCTACCTGCGTCCGAATGACAGACCCGGCGACCGACGCGCTCAACCTGATGTTGCAAGGCCACTTTAAGCACCTCCCGGTCGTCGACGCCAACGGCGAGGTCAGCGGTATGCTCGACATCTCCAAGTGCCTCCACGACGCCATCTCGGTCATGGAGCGCGCACAGGCGTCGGCCGATGCTTTCGCGTCGGAGCTCCAGCGTGGCCTTGGTCACCAAGACACAGCAGCCAAGTGGATCGAAGCGATGCGACGCCCGACGGTTGCGATGGCTGTCGAGAAGAACATGCCGCCGCCACTTGTCGGTGTTGACACGCCAGTGCGCGAAGCCGCCAAGATGATGGGCTCGTCACGCACTGCCGCTGTCGTTATGGACGGTATCGACGTGATTGGCATGGTGACGCCCAAGGACTTGCTGCGGAAGCTCATTGCGCGATCGCTCTCGGCCGAGACGACGCGGGTCGCGGACGTCATGACGCCGCACCCGCTCACGATGCCTCCGACGTCGAGCATTCTGGAAGGTCTCCACGTCATGAAGGAGACGCGGGAGCTCTTCGTGCCGATTGTGGACCCAACGTCCAAGCGCGTTGTGGGCATGGCCGACGTGCTCTGCCTGAGCTACTCGCAGTTCGCGTCGTCGGGCGACAACTCGCCCCAGAACGCGGCGAGCGAGTGGCGAACGTTCTGGCAAAGCGCAATGGCGATGCAGGAAGAGATGGGCGTTCACGACGACTTTGACGACACGTGCTCAGTCGGGACCATCGAAGACTTCGAGCGCACGGAAGCGATGGCGCCGACGATGCCCGCCGTGACGATGGCAATGACGGCGTACTCGGAGCTCGGGGACTCGGTCTCGGTCATCTCGGCCGACCAGACGAGCATCTCGACCAACATGGCTGGCACGTTCCTCTTCAAGGTCAAGGATCACATGGGGCATGTGCACCGCATTCGGAGTCGACCGGACAGCCTCGAGATGCTCAAGGGCGAGGTGCGCTCCAAGATGACACTCCTCCCAAGCACCAACATCCGCCTCAAGTACGAAGACGACGAAGGCGACCTTGCGGTCGTTTCCTCGGACGCAAGTCTCATGGACGCTGTGCACATGGCGCAAGAGAGCAAGTGGAAGTCCCTTTTGCTCGTTGTCGACGTTCTCGACGACCCCGCGCGCCGCATCTCGACGGTGCCCGAAGAGTACGAAGGCGGCGAGCGCGGTCTCCCCATCGGCGTTCACAACGGCGCGATCGTGCCCAAGAAGAAGACGTCGTCCAGCGACAAATCGATACTCTTTGCCGGCGTCGGCGTCGCGCTCCTCGGCGTGGGTATCGCCGCCATGGCCTTCCTCAAGTCGTCCAAGTAGCTCGGCTTCATTATCGTGTCGTACATACCCATAGAGAACAAGCGTCGCGTACATACCGGTATACTTTGATGCATTCATGTTGGTTGCCTGCTCCATGCGCCGTTTCTATCTATGGCCCTGTCGCTGTTGCCATCCAATGCGCATCCTCCTCCATCGACTGTGCACGCGTCGGTCGCCTCCATGGCCGTCTCCTCCTAGTACGCTCATGGTCCATGCTCCTCACCGCATCATGCATGCGCTTCCTCCATGTCGCAGGGGCGGGCCGCGATCCATCTTCTGCACCCAAACTTCCGCGAATACAAACGCAAGGTGGTTTTGCGGCCCAAAATAGCGGGGAGAGGGGTAGGGCAGAAACCTCTATAAATACATGCTTGCCGCTGGTGCGAAGGGGTTGAAGCGGGGCGGATATATTGAGTATGACAGGTCTCGTGTTGCTAAAAAAATACCGAAACCCCTGGACATGTACTGGATTTTTGTATACGATGTGGATGGGCGGTGCGTTTTTTATTCTCACGCGACGCGGTCGGCCGCAGTCACTTTCGAATTTGCCGCAGTTTTAAGCCGAACGAACGATGCTTGCCCTTGCCTCTGAACTCTGCCCGACGTCCGCGCCCTTCTTCGGCTTCATGGGCGTCACCTCCGCCTTGGTCTTTGCCAGTACGTCGATACGATGCGAACGCGAGGGCTAACGCACATGTGTATAGACTTGGGCGCCGCCTACGGTACGGCCAAGTCGGGCGTCGGTATCTCGTCGATGGGCGTCATGCGCCCGGAGCTCGTCATGCGCAACATTATCCCCGTTGTCATGGCCGGTGTCCTCGGTATCTACGGCCTTATCGTCGCCGTCATTATCCAGGGCTCGATTGACGTCCCGAACGGCAAGGAAACGGTGTACGGCTCGTACACGGGCTTTGCCCACTTGGCTGCCGGCTTGTGCTGCGGTCTCTCGGGCCTCGCCGCCGGTATGGCCATTGGTGTCGTCGGTGACGCTGGTGTCCGCGCCGTCGGCCAGCAGGAGAAGCTCTTCGTCGGTATGATTCTCATCTTGATTTTCGCCGAAGCCTTGGGTCTGTACGGTCTCATCGTCGCGCTTATCTTGGCCACGAAGAAGTCGACCGGCTGCTAAACCTTCACCCTCCATGCTCAAGACGAATTCGACGAATAACACTTGGCGCTCTCTGCTGTCTATAACCACTAGCGTGTGCTCTTAACGAATTGGTGTCTTCGTCGCCTTACATTTTCCCTATTCTCCGTGTCGTCTTGAAATACCCCGAGGCTCTCAACAGTCGCGAACCCCAACGGCATGGACCATGGCCCACAGCGTTTGCGCGCGACCATCGAGGCAGATCGAAGACAAGTGGTCTACACCCTCAGTTTTGGGCTGCACCAAGGGCCTTGTCTTCGCTTTGTGTTTCAGCGTGTTTCGGGGCGCATAAACTTCGTCCGCACAAACTCCGTACGGATACTTCTTCACTACTACCAAGACCATAAACTTACGACGATGCTCAAGGCGATTGAATTTGGCCTCATCCTCGTTCGCGGCGGCAATGCGACCGTGCAAGCCACGCTCTACGAAAGCATGCAGGGCAGCGACGAACGGTATCCATCTATCTATCTGTCTAACTATCTAGTAAGTTAATGGCCTTGGTACTTACGTTATCGATTTTAAGTAGTACCACTTGACATCTAGGTTCGAGTGCCAATGCGACTCTTCTTGAGCGTTCCAGGTGTGTCGTAGCTAGCGCCTTTAAAGAGGCCAGTTTCGGTCTTGGTTTGCCCGAGCAGCTGCGGCTGCGCCGTGTCTGACGTAAAGTTGTCCATAATGAACCCGTCCGAGCTTCCTACGACCACTCTTGTTACTGGCGGAGCTGAACCCTTTCCCTACTCACGAAGTTGAGCTACCTCTCTATATGAGATGATGCTACCTTGGGGGAAAGGTGCTGAAGGATGCGCTGGAGCTGCAAGTCATCCTTCCCGATCGCTTTCACATGCCGAATGTGCGCGTCTATGCGCGCCACGTTGGCCTCCGCGAGCTTCAATTGGCGCGCGTCCGCGTGGGCTTCGAGGCGCTCAAAGACCGTTTGCGTCTCGGTCAGCGCTGCGACGAGCGCTCGCGATTTCGGGTTGATTTCGGGTCGAAAGCTGCCATTGGCCCTTGGTCCCTCGTCGTCTAATCAGGATATGGGAAATCTGCATTGGAGAATAGTGTATGGAACGCACGGCTTCGCGGTCGGACTGTTTTTTTGCCTGCTTGCACCATCGCTTCGTAAATCTAACATAAGTTGCGGTCGATGGGCGCTTCAGCGCAAATGCCCATCGGAACCTTAATCGAGCGCGGATTGAGCGTCGGTGTGAACGGTGCGTTCGCAGCTTCCTTCTCGTGAGCTGCGAGGGAACGCTCAACCTGACGCTCATGCTTGGCGCGCGCCTGCGGCGACAGTTAGGAAGAGCGGTGGTCACCGTGTCACATTACGTAGGCCAGCATGTCGTCGACACTGCGCTTCATCGCATGCGTCTTGCGCTGAATTGGAAGGTGCGCATTTGCACGTATACACAGCGAAAGAAACTGCTGGCAAAGAGGAGAGTGTTTAGTGGGCTGGCCACAGAGACACAAGTTGGGTCTTGTCGTCACCGCTTGGTCTTCCTAAATAGCAGCGTGACTTGAGATGCTATTCTCCTACCAATGGATGCTACCTCAAGAAACTTTTGCTCGCGCTCATCCGTCATGTGCTTGTCGCTACATAGTCAAACAAACGACGTGATACGTACTTGATTGGTCATGCAAATTGGAGTACCGCCACGCGACTGCAGAGGCTTGACGCTCTAGAAAGGTTGGAAACTCGTGCGCAATTCGACGGCTCTTGCGATCAATTGCGGGCTTGAAGCGCAAATCTTTTTCGGCCTCTTGGGCTAGAAATTCCTGGATATACACGTCATGTTGAAGGAAGGATGCATTCTCTTCGCCATGTACCCTGTGCTTTGTGATTTTGTCTTGAACCTTGGACTGCGTCGCCTCAAAGCGCGCTAGCGTCGATGACCATTTGGACTCCACTGCTTCAGCTCGTCGCTCGCGCTCAGCAAGCAATTCTGCCTCAGTCGCCGCTGCTAGTAGCAAGAAGAGTATGAGCACCAGCAAGAACCCGAACAAGAAATGACGACGCGTACGCGCAGTTGGTGGTGGAGGCAAGGCAGTGAATGGATCCAACAGACACTGTGAAAGCTCGTCCACAAGCTTCGCAACTTCACGGTCGTCCTTCTCCCAGTCACAGCGTTCAAACCGCAGATAGTGCCGAAGCTGAGCTGAGATTGCATCGTCGTCAACGTCATGTAGAGCGTCGTCACAACTATCGCGCCCATCCATGATAAGACCACGGGCCAACAAGCACCAAATCTCAGAATATTGCTTCATCAGTTTCACAACAATCGATCCCAAAATAATATAAAACTAGGTTTCATCTCGTGTTTTCTTGGGGCAGGTTTTGGTTGAGGTGCTGCCTGGGTAGCGTGCAATCTAGAGGTGGTTTGGCGTCGTACTTGTGTCGTTGCTTGAACTGTGTGGAGCCATCAAATCAACCATGTCTGGAATCATGTGCATTGAAGTCCAACATGATCTGCCCCAAACCTCGTGTTTTTCTTGGGGCCAAGTGTGATTGGTCTTGGTGGTTTTTAGGTGGTGCGTAGGGTTGGTAGGCAATCTAGCGATCTTCCTGCGTAGCATGCGTAGAGTTTGATCCGAATAGAAGGTTTGACCAGGGTGCAGTTGAGCCTTTTGATTTCGGTTTGGTATCGGGGCAGCGTGCAACCTTGTGGTATGTCTGTGTGGTAGTTCTTGTACAGTACCGGTACTATGCTATTGTACTATGCGCGTTCGACGCGCACTGCGCAAACGCAACCACGCATTCACATGGCAAATAGGTGATGGACGCGTGCTCAGAACGCTACATCCGATTCGCTGCGGTGCGCTGTGCACCGCTGCCGGCCTTCGGCTGGGACTCACACTGCGGTGAAACCTCCGCTGCGCAGCGGAGCAACTGGTGAGGTCATTCAAAACATGAATCATTGTAGTGCTGTAGCGCCGACGTCAAATTCATTTTCTTGTGCGCTATGAAGGTGGTGCGTCGTCCCGACCTTGTTTCGTCGTGGAGTGTATGTTCAGAGCCGTCACTGGGATGAGCTCTTTCGTAATCGCCTCAACTTTCGCATCATTTCAGCACACGGGTCCAATACTGCACAGCCGGATGCTTCTCGCATAGAGGCCACGACGGCATCGCGGCTAGCTCAACGTTACAAGACGTACAAAGTCAAAGAGGTAGTTTAAAGATATCGCTACTCGGATTGGCAGGCCCAGCGATTCTATCGTGCGGGCCTCTGCACGCACGCGCTTCGCCGGGAGGAGCAACCGCCGCATATCGATCGACCTGGCGTCGCAATACTGTATTCCGACGCAGCTCTATGGCCTCCTCGATCGCAGTCGCTATGTCCAGGGCGACCGCTGCTTGGCGCTTCTGCATCTCACGCTTGCGCAGCGCTCCTGAAACAGGCGTCCCCATTCCCACGCGCGATGTGCGCAATACCAGTCCGCAAAACGTCGCACATTTTCGAGATATTCTAAGCTTAAAAGTACGTTTCATCCTAAAAACATTTATCACTCGGTTTCACGTTGGTATCCATCCACGCTTCAAAGCTTGCGCCTCGTATCTGCCACTTTTATGGCTCAGCCGCGCGAACCGACAATGGCAGGACCCAACTACGCCTGGTCGTCATTGTACAGACGCATATGTGCCACATGCACCCGCTCCGCTCGTGGTGCACCCTACCACGCTAACGCACAGGCACGGCTACAGTAAGGTGCCCATTCTGCACTCAGACTGCGTTTCGTGCCAAAAACTGCTCATACAATATATATAAGATAGATACACAAAGATAGGGTTGTCAGTCAATGAGAGGGCGGACGCGACTTGTGGTAAAAAAGAAGAGGATGTATGTGACGACGAGGCTGGTACAGCAAGCGATGAATGTGGAGGT